CTCAGCCACTGCCCCCAGGACTCGGCCAGGGCCCGGGGGTGGTTTGCCCCCCGGAGCTGTGGGGGTGTGAAGGCCTGGGAGCAGTTATCCCCTGGCTGGGCTTTTCCAGGTGGGTCCAGCCTGACCTGCCCTTTGCCTTGCAGGAGCTATGAGGCGCAGATACAGAACTACCGGGGGAGCGACCCGCTGGAGCCGTGGGACAGGTCGGTGTGACCGCGGTGCGAGTGTTTGCATGGCAGCTGCTGCTTGGGGGGATTGTCACGCAGTTGAGTGTGTTGCAGGTATGCACAGTGGGTAGAAGGATGTCTTCCCCTTCAAGAGAAGCAAACCCGCTTGCCCGGTCTCCTGGAGCAGCTCGTGAAGGTGTTCTTAAGCGACAAGCGGTACCACCAAGATCCGCGGTTTGTTAACCACTGCATTAAGCTGGTAAGTCTGTGCTTTTTGGGGAATTCAGCTATCCTAAAAAGTTAAACTTGTCCCACCACTATGTAGTTCTGTGATCGCAAAGAGCTGTGGGAGGAAAAGGAGCCCGCAGGGATGTGGTGTGGAATCCTGACGTGCTGCTCTCGGCAGCAGCTCTGAGAACTTCTCAGTCTTGCTGAAGGATGGTGTGGGTTTTTAAAGCTGTCTTATGAAGCTGTGAGAGGTATCTTAACCACCAGCTGGTTTTATCTTTAAAAAATAATGCTTTTTTCCTGTGATGGTAACCAAGAGCCTGTTAATTTTTTTTTTTCCCTGCAACTTCCTTTGGTATTTTTCAAAGTGCTTATTGCCTTGTGCATCTCTGTCTTGTGCAGGCAGAGTTCATCACTTCTCCTTGCCAGTATTTTGAGTACCTGTACGGGCAGGGAGTTGGCGCAAAGGCGTCTCACTTGTATATCGCTTGGGCTCAGCAGCTGGTCAACGATGGCAACGTGCAGTGTGCGGGAGCTGTCCTGCAGAAAGGCCTTCACAACCAGGCACAGCCCCGAGAGAACCTGCAGCAGCTGTACTGGTAACTCTGACACATCTTGTACTTGTTGAGCATGTGGTTACGCTTTTTTCCCTAGATACAAGCTTAACAGTACTTCTTTGCTGTTCAACATTTGTTGGATGTTTTGGAGGGTGCACTAAGAAACGCTGCAACAGTGTGTCTTCAGTGAAGTGGGGCCCAAAAAGAAAACCCCGTAACTAGTTGGTTTATTTCCTGCCTAGTCCCTGTGGAGTAGATCCAGCCTGTACAGAGGCATGGCCTGCTTCAGGCAGCCTGCCTTGGAAATACTGCGTGTCAGCCTCATTCCTTGAAAGCTCAAGCAGCTTGACCATGCTAACAACACCCGGCTTTTGTGATGTCTGTGTGCTTTCCAGAGCACATGAACTGGCTGCAGCTCACCCCATAGCTGAATGCACACTCAGCTGCTGCTCGACCGGACCCTTTGGATTTTGGTTGGTGGCCGTAGCTGGAAGTGCAGTGAGATCAGATGTCAAATTCCTGATCTGAGCTGGATTTTTAAGTCCACCTTGGGGATACGTTGACCATAATATCCCGTTTCTTTTCCGTACTGCACAGCACTGAGCCGAGAGTGGTTGCCTGCTGTAGCTGAGCCTGTTGAAAGCGCTGGAGTTGGTGCTTGTGATGATGATGTGTGTTTCCTCTGTGATGAGAAAACAAGAACCCAGTTTCCATGCACTGCTGCCTGTTGCAGGCTTTGTTGTTTCCGAGGCTGTGAAGCTAGCAGGATAATGCCCATACACAGTAATAAGTGTCCTGCAGCTAACCTGAGCTGTTCACTGTTACCTTTCATGGCATGGGGACCATACAAGGAAATCAAATGTTCCTGGGGGGTGGGAGGAGCGAGGGACAGGTGATTCAACAATAATAACTGACCTCTCTTGCAATTTAGCTGGCTGCAGAATTACGATCCTCAGAACCCTCCTTTGCAAGGTGAGGCTAAAGCTGTAGCTCAATTAAAGGAATCTTTTACCTTGATCAGTGAGTTTCAACACTCAAAAAATAAGTTTCCTATAGAAACTGATTTTTTTCCCCCCCTGTTTTCCTGGGCGTATTTAAAATTCTTAAGGAGAGTGTATTAAAAATGAGGTATTAGTTTTCTAATTTTTACAGTTAATAGAAATTCATAAAAGAAAATTATTTCTACTCATTAATGCAAACCTATATTATCCACCCCAGGTTCTGCTGTTATAAAACCACTTCAACCTTCGCATGCTGCAAATCAAATGGCTCCTCAAAAAGGTGTTTCAGATCTTAAAGACCCAGTGTACACCTGCAAAAATCAGGTAAATGATTATTAATGAGCGACGTGGACATTGTGGGGAAAACGTGGAGCCCTTACATAGAGTTTAGATTGCTGAGCTTAACTGAATGAGAAATGTCCAACAATATCTAATGATATCTGGTGTATCTCAAATGCGTTACTGGTGGTTTTGTGCTGTAAGCATTGCATCTTCATGGAAACATCTCACTGGGAAGAAACGATGCTGCTAGTGACCCATTTTAGCTAGGTACCAGAGTGCAGCACACTTGTTCTCCTGGGGCTTGGCCAAGCCAGTTCCAATTCTTCCCAGCCGCTCTGGTGCAGTAAGACGAGAGGTGACCCGGGGGTGAAATTAAAGGCTGAGAGGCTGCGGGTAGGAAGCTGATGTGACCTTTCTCAGTTGGTCCTGTGCCCTAAAGCGCTCGTGACTCTCGCTTTGGTATTGCCTGCAACTGCTGAGATGATGGAGCACAGCTTAAAGCTGCTTATGTCTGCTGCCTGTTCCTTGGCCCTGAGGCTGGACAGTTTGTCAAAAAAAAGAAATTGGATGAGTCTGCTCTTAACAAACCCAGAGGATCTTTAACTTCCATGCCTGTTTTTTGGAACAGAAGCTGGAGTTTCCAGAACTACATCTGTCTCTTAGTTCTCAGGGATCTGGTTCACCTTCTGAAAGCTGTCAGAGATTACAGCAAACTGTTAGGTGGCTGATTCTTCAGGATGAACTTCCTCAGGCTCTCAGGACTTGTAGAGCTCTCTTTCTGATCTGTTCTTGCCATGGTTGTGATCTGATTTGTCGTCTCTGCAATCAGAATTAAATATCAGGGGCTTCATGCCTGCTGGTCTTGTCAAAATGGATGGTTAACTGTAATATTGGAATTCTTTCCCTTTTTTAAAATTTTTTATTTCCCCTGTCCTTAGGGTCCTGATTTCAGCGGTACTCAGTCCTGCTCTGCTGGTGGAAGGGAAGAAGTGTAAGTGTTTGGGGATTTTTAAAGTCACGCTGTGGGAAAATTAACACGCTCCTAGAATAAATCCAATAAACTTGAAATAGAGCTTTTTTTTCTTATTTTCCTTCACAGAAAGTACGTTACGTACATCTCCAAATCCGAAGTTCTTCCGAAGCCGTCCTCTGCTGTTGGTGAATGTCAGCAGGTTGTGATGTATGATAAAAACCTGCTCCTGTGTGAAGGCTCTGAGCTGTCCTTTGAGGAGGTCAGAGCCAAGAGATACTTCCAGAAGTACGAGCGCCTCAGAAGACAGCAAGAACTGGGTATTCTTCTCTTTCCATCTAGCCGTTTCAGAAACATTCTCATACTCTGGGAAGACTGGTCCTGTGGGTGGGCTCTGATCAGAGCCCGGAGTGTGGTTTAAACGCTGGTGCGGTTACGTGAGGTGCTGCACTTTCTCCTTGGCCCCAGTCAATCAAAGCTGTGCTTGTGGCCAGGGTGGCCTCAAGGCACAGGGAGGGCAAAGTCTGTGATTAGAGGTAATAATTCGTTTGGACAATTAAATTTTGGAGAAAAAGTAGTGGGCTTTCATTAGAGAAATTGGGGCTTAGAGGAGCAAAACCAAAACTGAGTGCAGGCAGAGAGCAGCTGCTGGGGAGTGAGTTGTGCGTCTGACCAGTTATGGGAGGGGAAAAAAAAGTTGCTGATGGGTGTTGCTGGACCTACTTATCTCATTTAGTAAAGGAAGAAATGGATACATTGTAGCCAGTGGAGCAGGGTGAGATTCAGTGGGAGGGAAAATCCTACTGCATTTTTAAACCGAGTCTGGATTTTTTTTTGCTTTTCTTTTTTAATCCAGTAGTTCTGTATGATCATCCCCAGCAAGTGCGGCTCTTCCCTTGGGGACAGCAGGCTCCATCACCACCCAGATTTTTCCAAAGGGTCACGTTGGTAGAATCTTTCGGAGTTTGTGCGACGTGTGCCTCTAGATCTGCAGGAGTGTCATCCTGCAGTTGCACAAACTATAGATACATCTAAATCTTAAATTCAAGCAGCTTGTAATGTCCGTGTTGAGCAACTCCTTGGGATGCTGGTTAACTGTTTCACTTAATATCGGTGTTTTATCCTTAGAAGAAGAAGAGAGAGACTCCCAAAGGAAGAAGGAGTCGGCTGTCCTTGAGCTGCAAGCCCTGCAGCAGAAGCTGGAGCAGCTCACCCAGCTCACCAAGAGCCCGGAGGAAACTAGGCTGGAGCCAGCCTGTACCAAATCAGCTGAACCGAATGAAACAATGGTGAGTGTGTGCGATGAGCCACAGCAGCAGTCTGCCGGGACTTACCTCGTCAAAGTTAACCGTGCTTTAGACAGTAACCAAATAGAACAGTTTGCTAACCAAACCGGGAAGCCAAGGCTGCAGTGCTTGCTTCGTATAGATACCTGGCATCACTTTAAATGCTGGATGAGATATATTTTGATTACTAAACCCAAAAGTTTGGTTTTGCTCCTCCATGATTTAGTTGCGTATGAAAGTTCTCTTATGCATGAAAAACTGTTCTAGTTATTCAGGAAAAAAAAAGGAAAATGGCAGTGGCTATGCTTGTGTGGGAGTTTTGAACATAAAAGAACATTTCTCATCTCTGAAGGTGCATCTACACATGGCACCCGGTGCAGCTCTACAGCAGAACACGATGGCATCTTGTCAGAATTCAGATCTGCCCAACGCCCGAGCTCTGGTCTCAGCCCAGGCTGGAGCAAGCACCTCATTCTGCTCTGCTCTTACACAGTCGGTGAAACCCGCTGGCCTCCGGATGGCATCAGCCTCGCTGTGGGAGGGAATGGCTCAGAAGGAGGCAGTCAAAACTCAGCTGCAGCCTGGAGAAGCCCAGAGCAGTTTGTGCCACCCTCCATTCAATACTGTTTTGGCTCAGGAGCGGACACATCCTGGCTCGGCTCTTAACTGGAGCACTGCAGAACAGTACGTACCAGCAGGCTCTTTCTTCCTCAGCCAGTTGTCGTCTTCTGTATCTGCACTTCACCTGAAAATTAGCTTAAAAAAAAAAAGGTGTTTTTCTTCTGAAAAAAAAAATCTGAAGTAGCTTGTGGAAACCAATATTTAGACATAGATCAAAGTTCTATAGCTTCCAGTCCTCATTTCAGGTTTTAATTCCCTTCATCCTGTGTTTTAGTTGTTATAAGAGGAAATTTGGTGTGTGACTGAAGTCGTTCAGCATCGCTGTCCCTGGCGTGCCTAAGTATGCAGCAGGATAAGCTTAACTCATGCAGACCCCATATGTTACATCTTGGCCACGAAGGTCTGCAGAGAAGGAAAAAAAAGTGCTTGTGTTTAACTTCTGCGACTTAGCCAATACAGGAAACCAAATTGGGGGATGGGGGAAGAAACCTGGGCTGACAAAGCAAGCGTGGCTGAGCAGGCTTGGCCAGCAAGAGGACACGGATCCGGTTGTCATTCCCCTGTGTTAGGGAGTCACTTGGAGGGAAGCTATATCCCAGAGGAGTGTTTCATGCCGACCTTTTAACCTGTGTAAAGTCTCTGCTGCCTTTCTGGCTTTGCTCATACAGTTGCCAGCAGGTACAACCTTCTGGAGGGCAATCTCCATATTCAGAAGAATCTTTGACTCACTCCGTTTGACTAAAAGGGTCATTCATGGGGAAATGGTGCTGTCAATTTGGGATGTTGCCTTTGTTCTAGACTGGGAAGGGCCCTTATGGCTTCAGAATTGCCCAGTCCTCAGCTGCAGCTGGAATTTAAATAGTAGCTTTTATTTCAAGCCGATGTTCTTCATCTTTCCTTTGAAGGTACCCTAACAAGAGATCTGCTGGACTAACTGCGGCTGGGGACGTGAAAGAAGGTAAGAAGCCTGGTTTTGATGAAGACTGATGCTATGGGTGGGACTGTTACTGGCTAGTTCCAGCCCTAGCTGAGCTTTGTGGCTTTCCCAACTCCATCCCTGCCTGTCTGGGCAATGTCTCTGTGTCCCCCCATGGAGCCAGTCCCCGTTTCCACCTTCTGTGCCGTTCCTTTTTGTCTGAGCTCGGTCAGGAGTTGGCTGTTTGTCCTTGCTGCCTTCCTGCCTGTTCCCTTGGGAACCCAACCAACCTGGCAGATCTCTGAACAAGCCAGAATCTGCTCTCCCAAAATCCTGGGCTGCCATCCTGCTGCTCATCTTCTTTACTTTTCTAACATTTTCCTAGCTCCTGAAAGGTTCATGAACAATCCCAGGTACTTCAGAAAGGATCTCGCTGTTCTGCTTTCTAGCATCCGGAGCTGGAAATTCTTCCTTTGCTTCTGGCAATGCTTCTCAAGCCACCCCAAACACCTCGCTGGGAGGAGCAACGCCGTTCAAAGTGCAGCCTTCGCCGACCGTTCACACCAAGGAAGCGCTGGGTAAGCTCTGGAATAACGTGCTGGCTCCACTGGAGTCAGCGGGGTCCTGCCGGGTGATTGTAGTGCAGCCAGATCTAAGAGGAGGCTCTCCAGCGATGGGCAGCGGCACCATTCAGTCCAAGGGGGAAATAAAATCAGCTTGGGACTCTTCTGCGACTGTCTGGCTGACCCAAAGCTTTTGAGCAGAAATAGGTGTGTTACTAGCATCCCAGCAGCCAGGAAACTCCCAGATAAATTGCTGGTGACACGCCTGCCAGGCTGCTGTGGGCAGCGTGTCCTCTGGGCTGCTCTGGGCAGCACTGCCAGGGGCTCCTGTCGCTGAGATGAAGCCCTACAGCAGGCTAACGTGGAAAAATGAATGTTAGGAAGTCCATAAGTCAGCTCTGGTTGATGTTGAGCTTCCCCCAAAGCTGAAACAAGGGTGGCTTATGCGAAAGGTCTCTGATTATTTAGCAACCATTGTCAATTCTGAACATATTTTTTTCAAAATCCTAAAAGGGAAGTTGCAGTTGTACTTCTGATGGCAGACAATAATATCCTGGTGCTATTTTATCCCTTTGGTACTATTCTGCCGTGTTCTTCTGGTTTGATAGTAAGCCTGTTAACCACTCACATGTAGCAAACTGCTGCAGCTGAATATATATCTGTAAAAAAAAAAAAAAAAAATCAAAAAAACACCAACAAAAAGCTTGTGGTATTGACTAGTTTTCCAAATTTCTAAGAAGATAGAGGAGAATTTGCTCCTTTAGGAGAGCTTGAAATCTCATCTTGGAGACAAAAAAAGAAAAAAGGCCACGGCACCAACAAGTGTGTGTTGGCCAGGTTGGATCTTCCTGTGTTTGTTCAGCTGTCTGGAGTGTTTACGTGCAATATGAAGGAAAAATTGGCTATTGGCATTTAAGAAATTATAATTTATTTGACTGCTGCACTATAGAAGAACCCCTGAAAATTTCTTTTACTGGGGGTGGTATTCCTGTGGGGTTTACTTCTTTCTTCTTTTAGGTTTTCTCATGGACATGTTTCAAACACCCATCTTGCCTGAACCATCTCCTCTCGAAGAGAGCGAGGAGCAATTTGAAGCCTTTTACAGAAAAAGTGGTATGTACTATTTTTTTTTTTTTTTTGGTCCATGGTATTCCATCCCTTGATTTCCCCCTTATCCCTCCCATTGGTCCTGGTCACTTTGAGATGACTGGGTGTGAAGAAGCAGCTCCTTTCCTGATCATTTCCTTTCCTGACAAGTTTCTAAACTTTGCTGCACAGGCCGAGAGCAGCAGAAGCTCTTTACTGCTGGCAAGCCTTTCCGTGTGTGTAGTGAACGTGGTGCTTCTCTGCAGGGACTTCTCTAGTGTTGAACCCTGACTCGGGAAGGGCACAGCTGGTGCTCCATAGGAGTAAAACCATTTTGTGGGCTTAGGGGTGAAAATAGGACAGTTGATATAATCTTGTCTGGGTGAGGATAAGGTTGGTTATCTTTTCTTTTGAAGAGCCTGATGGAAGTGTGAAAGCCAACGTTATTGCCCCGGTCGTGCCTGCATTTTCTATCTTTGAAGATGAGAATGAAAAAGAGAACAGCAGGTAAGGGGGGCGAAAATAATAGCTGAGTTTGGTTTGTTAAGAATGACATTTAGGGTTGATTCTGCTCCGTGTCATTTTGCTGCGACTGTATTTGTGGTCTCGGGGTGGGTTTGAACACGATCGCTGGCGGCTGTGTGGCAGTGACACGAGAAAGCTGGAGCGGCTTCCCTGGGGAACCGCACACCTTGCCTCCTTGGCCCATGGGCTCGAGATGCTGAATCTTCTGGATAAGCGTGGAGAGCTTGTTTCTGTGGGCTACTGCAGCTTCTCGAAGTATCTGTAAATGGGATCCTTTAAAAAAAAATCATTAAAAAATTAAAACCAACAAGTCTTTGTTACAATCAGTCTGCCTGGGAAAGTTTCAGGGAAAAGCTATTCTGTTCTGACCTGTTTTGTCAGGTTCCCCCAGCATAAAACCAAGGCAGAAAAGCCCAGGACTGGTGGAGACCATCCCCTGATGGACTGTGCAGCGAGTACGGAGGTGAGTGCTTGGTCTGATGGCAGGAATTACCCTTGAAAATGGATGATGCAGTTATAGGGGATACTGGTGGTGGCTGTATTCCCCTTTGCTCTATCCCAGTCCTGCAGCATTCCTGTGCGTGGTTCTAGCTGCAGTCCAGACACCCTTTCCCCTTTCCTGCCGATGGGATGAACTCTTCAGTTCATTTTCACAAAACTTTGAGGAGCTCGACAGCACAGACCTCTATCTAGAACAAATCCAGCTGCAGCTGACGTGTGGATTTGGCACTTTTTGGGGAGGAAGGACAGGGAGCATGAGCCACCTGATGTTCTAATAGCCACCTGGGGTTTAGGTTCTGTTGCCATTCCTTTATTTTTCTTCCACTGAAAGCTGGCCTGGGTGGACTCAGCAGCGCTGAACTGACCACAGAGGCTGCCGGCAGGGCACTGAGCAGCGCTGGCAGGATAGTTTCCATGGCTTAGTTTATAATCTCTATGTATTTTTTTTCCTGTCTAGGAAGAAACAGGGACACCAGAGTTCTTGCGGGATGATTATACGGTGTGGAACGTACTGAACAGTAACAAAACCTTAGCTCCCAGTCCCAACAACACGAGAGACTTCGCGCGAGCTGCCCAGCTTGTATCAACACCCTTTAACTACCTGGCGGCACACACGCGACAGGCTTTGGAGGACAAAGGTAAGACAACGAACACTTCAGGTGGAGAGCATCTAATTGAGCGCTGCCTGACTCCGTGTCTGTGCCCTGGCTGCCTCCCGGGCGTCCCCAAACCCCGCACACGAGCTCCTCACGGAACAGCAGCTGGGAGGGCGGGCTGGCTGGCACACAGGCTTTCCAGGAATTTTTTAATTGGGGGAATAAGAGAAGGTGGCGAGGGACAAGAGAGGCTTTGTGCTGCAGAACTGCTGTTCTGAGCTGTTCCAACGGGTTGTAAATAGTCCAAAAATGGACTGAAGTCCCAGCACCTTCTCCTGGGGGCACCTTTGTGCTTGTCTGCCCCTAAAAGGAATCAAGCTGTTGTCTTGCTGTGTATATTTTAAACTAGGAGAGTTCAGCCCTAGCTCTTGTGATACCTGAGCAGCTTTCCAAGCTGCAGTGTGACTTTAACCTTCTCGTCTTGCTGTAAGAAAACTCTAAATGCACTTATCTTTGGGGAAAATAAACATTTGCTGTCGTTGCTGCTCCATTTGTTCAGCCTGCGGGGATGACTTGCCGCAGATGGATTTGGAGTTCTCTGAAGAGCTGCACAAGCAGGAAAAAACCAAGAAGCTCAGGTATGTCATGGCTTGCTGAGATTTCCCTGGGCAAATCTGCCCCCCAGCAGGCGGGTCTGCTCTGCTGCTCCAGATTCCAGCTCTCCAAGGAACCCAGAGCTGACGTGTTTGTGTCGGACGGACTCTGCTTAGCATCTGTCCCAGCGCTTTGCAGAGTTAAATCAGCCTGGGTATGGTGATAATGTGCCTGAAAATTGATGATTGAAGGTTTCTGACACTTTTAAATTAACCGTCCAAAAAGTTTTAACGTCTGTGTATGGAAAACTGCTGCTTTATTTTCAATGTTGGCTAAACTTGTTGGCTCATGAATTTGGAAGTTATTAGACTATGGGTAGCACGATACAACCAAATATTATTTTTCTTAAGAAATGTCCATTTTATTAATCTTAATGTTGGCTATGGCCAAGTCACAAGCGTGGCTATTTTACATGTTTTTTCTTACTAAAAATGCAAAACCACTGTCAATTAATAACATTTTGTTTTCAATACACAGCCCTGCTCTGGAACACCTTGCAGAACAAAGAGAGCTTCAAGGAAAGGGAATTCAAGGAATTGCTCCAACTGCTTCACAAAGATCACACGAGCAGACTGCCACAAGCTGCACTGAGTACTCCCTGTCTGTTGGGGTGGACAAAATCTCCCAGGAAAAGGTGTCTGGAGCTGGACAGGAGCGGACAGCCCCGAGTGTCAGAGCCGCAGGTATGGAGCATTGCCCACCGTTTTTTTGTCAAGTCCGAGAGCGGAGCAGTGCTGCATTCAAGTATAAGCTTGTATGTTGCCTCTTTGAAATTACACTTTTCTTACACCCTAAATATTTTTCTTCTTTCCCTGAAGTCCTTGTTGAGAACCCTTGGGATAAGGAGTTGATTCACAAATTCTTATCAGAGCTTCCTAAACCGCTCCACACCTATGCCAACTACTTTGAGTGGCAATCTGCTCTTCCATCCATCAGGCCGAAGGTTGTACTCCCCCTGGGTAAGAGCTGCTTCAAACATTTCACTTTAAAGCATTTTTTTAAGTTTTTCTGGGAGCCTCTGAAGTATTTTTCTAGTTCAGTTTACTTGAGCGTATATCCAGGTAGCTTCCAGGTTATGTAAACCTCAGGTCTGAAATGAGACCTGGTTTTTTGTTTCTGTTTTGTAGCCTGGGTGGTTTTGGTCGGGCACTCTGAGGAGGAAACTTCCCAGGTTTTCCTTTCCTGATCGGTGACACAACTCTTAAACTGTGTATTCGGACATCAGCAGTCCCGTGTCAACAAAACCTGTGTGACAGTAGTTGCAACATGCTCCTGTGACTTCAGTCGCCATCAGTGTTTACTTTTTAAGAAATGCGCTTTGGTATTTGACTGCTTCCAGGGAGTCAGGCTAAAAGAGAAACACAGATTTTCAGTACGTGGCACTGCGCAGAGCTCTTGTTCTCGAGAGGCTCTGTTCTCTGGAAAGGCAGAAAGAGACCTGGGGTGAAAGATTAGCCTTTGGTTAAAGAAATAACTTGATTTTCTTTTCTCTTTCTTTGTTTTTTTTTTTTTTGATATCTCCTCTGTGAAGTCTGTAAGCAGGACCTAACATTGTTACTCTCTTCAAGGTCCCAGCTCGTTCCAAGTGGACTGCTTGGTTGGGGAAGGAGCTTTTGCCCAGGTCTATCAGGCTTCTGTTCTGGATGCTGGTAACTCAAGGAACAATGAGAAAGTGATATTTAAGGTAAGGCTGGGGATTCGGAATAGCTCTGCTGGAAAATTCTGGAGTCTTGTAGTAACGACACCTGCACTGGGTGGATTCTGCTGAGTTTATAATTTATAACCATGAAGTAGCACATATTGGTCTGTCCTCAAAGCCTTGTTCAGATCGATCGCTTTGGAGTCCAATTCCTTCTGCGTGGGGGGTTGCCGATCCTCCTGCCTCGCCTGGCCTCTTCATCTTCTCTTTCTCAATTAGTCACGAGCACCCTGAGGAGTCGGGGTTACAGCCAGGCGCTCTTAGTCCTCAGCAAACGGAAGCGTGTGTGGATTGACAATAAAATCTGCTCTGGCTGCGAGATCGCACCGAAAGGGCCACCCTTTGTTCCCGATGCCTCCCACAAGCACGTCTGGGCTTTGGGCAGCTGGCTGTGACCAAGGCTTTGCTGGGCAATCCCTCTCTTCCCTACCTTTGGAATCTTTTGGTGGCTCTCTGCAACATTTAATCTTTCAGCAAAAATCTTTATAGTGTAACGCCTTCACCAAGAGCTTTCTAGTACGTGAAGGAAGGTGACTTAAGTGGGAGGTTGGTTTTTTTTTTTTTGAGCATCAGGTATTCAACATAGTGGAGGAGATAGTAGGGGAAGGAATTGGAAAGGTTTTCCTGTTTGACTTCAAAAGCCTTCTCTCTCAGACACCACCATGTCTGTGGCCACCAGAAACACCGATGTTGCAGAAAGCCTGACATTTGAAATGACCCAAAGGAGGATATGAGCCAGAACGGAACTGTGGCGTGGGAATGAGGTCTTGATTCAAGAGGATTAATCATTGAGTGGGGTTAATTACTGTAGATTCAAGTATTTCATTTGGTCGAGAGGAAAAACACCTAGCCTGCCATTAAAAACCAACAACAAACCCAACCTGAGAAGAACTGCTTCCAATGCAAAGAGATTTTCCCAGTAAATCACCTGTTTCGTTCCAGGTCCAGAAGCCTGCCAACCCTTGGGAGTTCTATATCGCGACGCAGCTGCTGGAAAGGCTCCATCCAAGCATCCACCACCTCTACATCCACTTCTACTCTGCTCATTTCTTCCAAAATGGGAGCGTTCTGGTTGGCGAGCTCTACAGCTACGGAACGCTGCTGGTGAGTGTGATCGGCTCATGCTCTGGAACATCTGTCTTCTTTTGGTGTGCGGTTATATTACAATACTCAGACGTTTTCTCCGCTTTATGGCCCTTCATTGTGAATATTCTGTGTTTATTGACACGGACCTGTAACCCACACCACATTGTTTCTGCGTAGCTGATGGTTCTTCGCTCTCGTTTTGTTCCCAGAACGCCATCAACATTTACAAAAAGCTTCCCGAGAAGGTGATGCCTCAAGCGCTCGTCATCTACTTCGCTGTAAAAATTCTTTACATGGTGGAAGAGCTCCACAGCTGCAAAATCATTCACGGTGACATTAAGCCTGACAATTTCATACTCGGAGAAAGGCAAGTATTGCCCTCTGCTGCCTGAGACGCTGGCATATTGCGATATCTAGCCTCGATACTGACGTGCTCGCTTGGTGTGGTCACGATTGAAGGTTTCTGGACAACGATACGTGTGACATCGACAGCCTCTCTCATGGCTTGACGCTCATCGACCTGGGACAGAGCATAGACATGCGGCTGTTCCCGGAAGGAACGGCGTTCACTGCCAAGTGCGAAACGTCGGGGTTTCAGTGCGTTGAAATGCTGACGCAGCAGCCGTGGAGCTACCAGGTAGGAGGTGGCACAGACAGCCCGAACGGTGGGAGCTTGCTGCATGCATCTGCAGGGAATAAACAGAGTAAAGAAATTAATGACACTTCCAACAGAGCTGTAGATTCAGCTGGTTGCTTTACGAACATGCTCCCCATCCCTCTGCTCACAGACCTTGCCCTGTTGGCCCCGCAGAGCCGTTTTCAGCTGATTTTCCGTGGTCTCAATCCACTTCCAATACAGAACTCGTGTGTTCTCTGTTCAGACAGACTCCTTTGGCGTTGCAGCCACCGTCTACTGCATGCTCTTCGGCAGCTACATGCAAGTCAAGAACGAAAACGGCGTCTGGAAGCCCGAGGGAACCTTCAGAAGGTTGGTGTTGACTCTTTTCAAACTCTTCTCTTGCCTAGAAAGGTGTGTCGCTAGTCCCGGGCTGTTTGGGGCTGGTTTCTGCACAGCTTTGGGTGCTGCCCGCGAAGCGGTTCCCGTGCATGAACACCCACAGCTCCATCAAACATGCTGGCGTAGCGCACGGAGCGTCTCAGCCGCGGGGCACTGCACAGTGCGCTCAGCTGCCTGCGAGAAGGAAACACCAATTAACGAGGAAAACCCCCCAGGTTCATTAAGCAGCACGCTGCGATGGAAACTCCGTTAGGGGACAGCGCTGCCCGCCGGCGCTCCAGCCTGCAGCTGGGCAGGGAGCGGGGGGATGCAGGGAATAGTGTTTCAATGGCTTGAATTGGGAATTTTTGTTGATGTGGTTTTTGTTTGTTTGCCAGGCTGGCCAACGCTGAGCTGTGGAAAGAGTTCTTTGAGAGCATGCTGAATATCCCCGGCTGCCACAGCCTGCCTCCGCTGGGAGCCCTGCGCAAAAGGCTGAGGGACTTATTCTGCAGGTCCTACGCAAAGGAAATAAAGTTGCTTCGGAACCGGCTCGTCATGCTGCTCATCGAGCACAGACGGTCACGAAAATGAGCGCTGGCTTCGCACCACTGCTGAGGGCTTGGTTTTATTCGTGTGAAATCTTTTAGTAATGGCTGGTCTTACAATAAATGTTCTTGGGGAGAACTTCAGGAATGATAACTTGCATTTTTCTGTGCTTTTGTGGAAACAATAACGACACTAAAATGACTTGTTAATTTGTCTGGTTCGGGAGGCACGGGCAACTAGACAGTTGTCGTAACATCGGGTATTTCTAAGGGAGAAAACACTGGGGAAAAGTCTTGTGCAGGTGAAATAATCACTTTCAACCTTCCCTGGGATTTTTTAAAAAGATCATCGGATCCTTCGTGTTGATGAGACCTTGGGAAGTTGGCTGCTCTGACCTAAAATGCCAAAATAACAGGAACTACCTGAATTCCCCAAACCCTGAAAAAATCAGGCAGGCAACTCATTTAATTATGCATCCCTCCACAGGAGGGAGACAAACAACAGCCTTTCCTCCTTTTCTGCATTTCAGGGCTATTTTTTCCTCCGTTTTTAAATTATTCCACTTGAAAACCAGCCAGGTGAGCAGCTCCCTTTACCTTTTCTCTGAGCTTTCTGTGGCACACGGAAAAAACTTTGGGTTTCGTATGAAACAGATTATTTTTTAAAAAAATTATTTATGTTTTTATATA